GGGTCGCCCGGTACGTTAAGACATGCGAAACATGTCAGCGGGTCAAACCCGCAGGGCACTCTTCGGCCCCACTACAGAGCCTGCCCGTAGTGGCTGACTGTTGGAAGTCGACGAGTCTTGACTTCATCTTTGGGCTTCCCGCCGACGGACACGGCAGCACCGGGATTTTGGTGTTCGTGTGTCGGCTGAGCAAGATGGTACATCTTGCTCCAGTTCCCGTCACTGTTACGGGCGAACAAACCGCAAGGCTGTTCGTCGATGGCGTGTTCCGCTATCACGGTCTCCCGGAGACGATTGTCTCGGACCGAGAGGTTCACTGCTGCGTTTTGGGAAACGCTGTTCCCTTTACTGAGAACTCGTCTGCAGATGTCCACTGCGAACCATCCGCAGACAGACGGCCCAACAGAGCGCGTCAATCGAGTGCTCGAGGACACTCTGCGCAGTGTGTGCGCGGCAGCACCACGTACGTGGTCGAAGCAGCTTCCAGTTGTGGTGTTTGCGCTCAACAACGCGGTGCACGCGTCCACGGGGCTCACGCCGTTCTACTTGAACGGCTTCCGCCACCCCAGAGTGCCTCTCACTCTTTGAGGAGACACTGACTCCTCTATTCTAAGTGAAGGAGAGGCTCGAAAAGCCCTTTCCTCCCAGGTCTCGGATGTGAGACCAGTTTCGCTGCGGAAACAGGTGGAATCCTTTATGGATACCAAGCTGAACATTGTCAGCAGATTCCGCGATGCCATGGCAGCGGCCCAAGATAAACAAAAGGAGTACTCAGACAAACATGGAAGAGGAAACTTAAGTATATTTGAGGTTGGGGGCTTAGTGTTGCTAGACACGAGGAACCTACCTCTTGACACTGTCAGCTCTGTCGGCAGCAACAAGCTGAAGCACCGCTTCATCGGACCTTTTGCAGTCCTGGCCAGACATGGTGCGTCGTACACCATCGACCTTCCAAAGTCAATGACGACGCACCCGACGTTCTATGTCGGACGTCTTAAGCGGTACTTTGACCCGCAGGGGGTTGCTGACTCGCAGACCCCCTTGACCCAGCTCCCCGAAGCGAGGGCCGGTCACAGTCGTCGACGAGGGCGTCGGAGCAGGCACCCAAGCCTCGGTCGGGACGGCAAGGCTGCGGTCAAGACCGTACACCGGAGGGGCTCCATATGAACGAACCCCGGCGCCATACGCCGAGTACGCTGAGTACGCCGGGTACGCACCATACGCGTACGTCTGGAAGTGTGCCGCAGGCGGCTCCGGACGTGGCAACAAAGCCTCGATCCGTCGGATCATGCGAAAGGCCTCGTCCAGATCGGTCGAAGAGGCCCGGCGATCCACCCGCAGGTGCAGGCTCGCGACCTCTCGCTCCAGCAGGCCCAGGCGGCCCGCAAGACGAGCGAGCTCGCCCTGATTCCCGGCCTGGGCGGCAGCATCACCGCCAGTCCCAAGGCCAAGTGCAATCTCAAGCACGAGGACACGTTGACGGAGGCTGTCAACCTCAGGGCCCTGCGTCGGACACGCAGTCGGGAGCACTCGGACGAGAGTGGCTTTCGGGAGGCGCCGAGTACTCGTACTCGTACGAGGGCACCTCCGCCCCTGCTTGACCGGAATGGAGAGGTTCCTCTTCCATGTGGAGGGGATAATCAGGAGCAACGGCGTCGCGGTAAACGACAGCTCCTCGTGAAGTGGAGGGGTTATGCCCACTTCGAGAACTCGTGGGAGCCGATTGAACGGCTCCTGATTGACTGCCCGAAGGCTGTCACAATCTGGGAACAGAAGTGGCGGCAGCTTCATAAGTAGTCCGGGGCTTCTTGTCCGAACGGGGTACGGACGATGAATACATTCCGTACCCGCGCTCATCGTGAGCGCTAGAAGCCGCGCGCTTCAGGATGTCCCTTGGCAGCATACGCTTGCTGATCAAGTGGGCAAACCTCACACGAAGATCACGCTGGTCTAGGATGCGGGACAGCAGCTGATCTTCATGGAGTTCCCGTAACTCCGTGGGTCGGTACTTAAGAGTCTCCACCCACGCCCAGAACATGTCCTCACAAGAACTCCACGTGGGACAGCTCTCGGGTATAGCCCAGGGGTATCCTTAAAGAGGATAGAGACCACCTCGGGTCTCGGGCTTCTTACGACAAGTCGTGAAGTCCTTAAGGGGAATGCGGTGTGGCGCGAGAAGCACACACCGAGCAGCCTCTAAGTTGTCGACGAACAACTGTTCTTTCTGAACAAGGGCTCGTTCATAGATGCCCCTAGAAGTGTGGCCGCCCACAAGGCCACGAGGAGCGACGAGAAGCTCTAAGAAGAGATCAGCCCCAGAGCTCTCCTCGGAAGGCCAATACCCTCTTGAGTAGATGGCAGCTCCCTGGCTGACGGGTGCCGCCACCGAACCCCCAACGCACACGCTGGGCAGCTTGGAATTCCTCCTGCTGCTGGTCGAGGTCATTCGAGGCCTCCCGGGGCTCAACGATAGCACCCTCCTCCTCTTCTTCTTCCTCCTTCTCCTCCTCTTCATCGGAGGAGTCGAAGATACTCTGATAGGAGCGTCGGGTCTCCTTCTCCTCGCGGAGTATAGACTTAGAGGCTGTGCGCTTCTTCGAGAGCTTGGCGCCTTCGGCTTTAGAGGTTTTAGCACGCGCAAGACCCTCGGCAAGCGAGATACGTTTGCGAGGATTCTCTTCCTCATCGCCACCGGCTTTGGGAGCCCCATTAGCCTTGACGGCCGGACTCTCAGAGCGCACAGAAGTGCTGGGCTTGTGATCACCCTGATCACTAGCGAGCGACTGCACGCGGTTATCTTTGTGCTCACTGGGCACTGAGCTGTGCCCTCCCACAGAACCCGCAGGAGCATCGTGAGTGCTCTCGGACTCGGTATCGTCCTCACTGCCCGAGTTGAACTCACGTTCCACGAACCGAGGGCTCGGACGATTATCTGAAGATGAGGGCGACGGACTGCGGCGCTTGCTTGCGCGCTTGTCCACAGCCGCGTCACCCGAAGAACGGATCGCCTCGGAGGCCACCTGAGTAGCCTCCTTGAGTGCCGAGCCTTTGCCGCGAGGCTTAGTGCTCTTGGCTTGCGCCTTACCGGCAGCAGCCTTGGAGCGTGTCTTAGCACCGCTCTTTGCAGTGCCACGAGGCATGATAACGGTCGAAGTGGAGACCTAGACGAAGAGCGCACAGGTTGCTGCTCGAGGCTCTAACTGTGAAGTGAGCCTCCGCCGCGCTCGCGCGTCCAAGTCGATGGTTTTCGACTTGGAGAATGAGAGTTTGTGACGAACACCTCTTCACTCTGATTGGTCAGTAAACCGAACCTAAGTGGGGGAGGATGTAACGGGGTACGTAGCCCTAAGTGTATTCTGGTTACATGAAGTGTGACACTTCACACTTCAGGTGTATGACGCGTCATACACCGGGATATTTGGTACAAGGTACCAAGGTCGCTCAAAGCCAACCATTGGACAAACGACATTGCATTTCTATAGGTAGCTTATAGTTTGTATTAAACCCAAACTTAACCTACCTATAAATATACTCAGCTTACAATCTACCTTATTTAGGTCACTTCGCTCTCTTTAACTAAAGAGGGGACCTGTGAACTGCCGTTCACTGAGAGTTTGTATACTCTCGGAAGATGACTTCCTCTAGCGCAAGGTGCTGTGTGACCCCGTCACACTGAGCGAATGGTATGCATCTAGCCCGCTGGGCTTCTCCTGCTTGGAGGGAGAGTGGGAATCTGGAAGTGGCCTAGCGATCTGCTAGAAGGCAAATAGCACAATAATCACCAATTAAATGCTAGACATTCACCATAAGACAGTTTATCTTCGATTACTACGTCAAAATCCGATGATGGATCAAAATACAAAAACCAAGTTGACACTATTTTTTTTTTTTGGGGGGGGGATCGTGATATACATTATCTTACGGTGCCTCTCTGAAACCGAGTTTTATAGTATGAAAACATGAATTTGTGCTGGCTTGGCTATCCATGCGCTTGTACGGTGACCACCTACCGAGCCACCGCATGAAATGTACAGTATAATGTCTGTGTTTTGCGATCCAATTCCTGCCGTGCTCCATCTCCACCGGCATTAAATGCAAAACGTTTACGCATAATTTTGCGCAAATTTTGCGTAAGCATTTTGTGACAAAAAAACGGCTTTGCTCACACAAAAGAAAGTGCACGGGATAAGTCTGGTCAGAATCTGTACTTTCTAGGTGTGCATTTGTATGAGCAAAGCCCGATTTCATATTTTTGGTCCGGAAAGACTTACGCATCTTAAACATCCACTGCAGCAACCTGTCTGTCCGTCACACTAAATTGTCGTGCCTGTCACGCTTTTCCGGACAAATCATTGGATAAAATAATTTAAATATTCCTACTGGCTGCCGAGCGCAGCGAAGGTGGCTCCACTTGGCCTAAAAGCTGCCGAGCGCAGCGAGGCGGCCCAAATCGGCACCTTCTGCAACCCTGCGGGCCTTTGGGCCCGCCTGAGCCAAATCTGCCAACCTACCGTGCGAGTAGTGAAGCGAGCCCGTGGCGAGCGGAACGGAGGCAAAATACAAGGAACGACATTCATTCTTTCCCGCCGCGTAGCGGCGGCACTCGGCTAGTAAATTAACGCAAATGCCGGTGGAGATGCCCTTGCTTGTACATACGACTAATGCTTAGATTGATCGGTATGTTTGCGACCAATCTAATAATAAGCATGTGGACACCACGTGCATGCATACTGTTCTGCACAGTAAAACGTCCGTATACATGTACTATCATAGTTTATGGACGTTTTACCTTATCTCTATGTACAGTATCACATTACTACACGCAGGAGTCCTTCCGGGACCTGCCCTCCTTCAAGAATTATTAACGCTTAGATGCAGTAGTCTCATATCAGTCAACACGCTGACTCTATTTGCCGTTCCCAACTTGTAGCGAATCGCTATTCCTTCATTTGCGTTTCAGCTATTATAACTCCATCTCACGACTACTGCCAAGAAGCATGATGAGGTTGGCCACCATTGTTGCTCTTATCGGACTCGTTGCATGTTGTGGGACAGCTTGTGGCACTGCAATAGCCGCAGCCTCGAATTCCAAGACTCACCATCCATTCATCGCTGAAGAATCGCCGACTACCCAGCACGAGAAGAGATTCCTAAGACGTCATGGTGATAGTCTTGAGGACGACGAAGCTGCCAGCGAAGCAAGAGGGCTCAAAAGTGCTGCTGAATCTGTTCGAAAGGCGTTATACAAGGTCAAATTCCCGGGCTGGCTTGCCACGGGCAGAAAACCAGAAGAAGTCCGGGAGATTCTAAAAATCACTTTCCCTTACGTCGACCACAAGAACTGGAAGATTTTAAAGAGCTACCAAAAAGCCTACAACAGCTTTCAAAATAGCCTGCACCCGGCCGGAATGTGATGAGGACTCACAAGCAAGAAGCCTTAGAAAGGTACGAGCCGTGACAGCGAGATTTTAAAAATGAGTCGTACGTTTGCCACACACGAAGTAGATAGTGCGATCATCGCTAAATACTTCCTAGGAGTCTAATGAAACCTGCTTCTTAACATCATTACCGGCGAGTAAGGTTCGGCTTGTAGTTTCTTAGAGATAGGAACATACCTACAAGGGATGGACTCAAAAGACCTAAAAACTGTGTGCTCTGACCAAAAATAGCTTTTAAAATAGGACCAACATTTTGTACACCATTTGCACCCGCCGCTAAGCGGTGGGCTGTAGTGCTCGGCGTGTAGCCCGGAGCAGTGGATCTCTCGCACTATTTTCTGAAAAAAATCAAGCATTCTTGAGCACTCAGCTAAAATCATTACAAAGGAAGATTAATTAATGATATTAAAGAATGATCAATGTTAGAGGTACCGAGTAGCTCGTACTTAAGCGAATGTTAGGGTTACACTGTGTGAGTGACTCGAGCCACTTCGTGTTAATTGGTCCCGAGATACGTACTAAAGGTACTACGCGAAAATATATGACGGTAATTTAAAAATAACAGATTAAAAAATTCATCATCTTTAGAGATATCGGTGCTTGCGACGACAGCCAGTCACGCGACTAGTAGCATGAAGTGTTGCTGTAATGTAACTGGAATGCATGAATGTCACCCGAAGGTACGAAGCACTTAGTGAGAATTTGCCTGACGAGTACTGCTAGAGTAGAGCAGACCATGACCAGTATCTTTCACTTTACGCAGCTCAACAGTATCACCGCAGCACGCACACATTGGAATCAACAGACAGAGGCATCACAATGCGAACTACAGGGGTACATTATCTTCATGTTATCGACTTTCTAACTCGCCTACTGCAGGCACTTTAACATGTACCGAAGCCTGAAAAAACGCATTGAGGCATGGCTGAGCTTTTCCGGCATATCGATGCCGGTGAGGTAGCACTTAAAGAAAAGTAAAACAGCTGCTCCACAGCTTGAGAAGTCCGGCTGGCGTACATTCGTGACTCTCTGAATCGGCAAGGGTATGGAGCTGTCTTCACCTTCTAAAAACACGTCTTTCAGTAGTTCTTCGCATTTGGCGTAATATTTGACTTGGGGTCTTGCAAGGGGTCGAACACCAGGACTCCTCGACGTTCGCTGCGATAATCGAAAACTGCTCCACACCAGTGGTTGTTGTCTGTGTGTAGCGGCAACAGAATGATCTGGTTCGTTTTCTTGAAAGGCTTGCCTGCATTAATAGCCCTGAGCCGGGCGTGTTTATCGTGGAAACGATTGAAGATCGGGTTAACGATGCCAACATCCGGGTGTTCTCGTTGGAGTAGAGCAATCACATGCCCCATGCATGAATCATCCATCCACATATTTTCTCGAAGCGTTAGTAGTCCGTTATAGGGCACACTACCGAACGAAGTTTCGCGGCCACCCTTCAGAAGAATCCGCCTGATAATAACTTTCCGTTCTGTCGGATCGCTGCTGACTCCGAGGAACTCTTACACCAATAGTGTCGTCATCGACAGTTTCAATCAAGCCTTTTCGAAACGCTGCGACCGCAGCCAGGCATTTTTCCACAAATTGTTTTGGAAACACAAATCTGACGTCACAGATGCACTCATCCTCAAGATAAATACCAGCATTCGCCTTCTTGGTCTTTGGAACAGCTCGAATAGTGAGATTGGGTAGCACCTTCTTGGCGTCTTCATAGGTCTAGTTGTTGTCCAACAGTTTAGCAATGTTCCGTACGCTTAAAACTGGTGCCAGCGTCCCTTGTACCAACTTGGAAGCCTTCTTCTTGCTATTCTCGATCCTCTGCTTCTTTTCTGCTTTTCTTTGCTTCTTTCTGACTTGGGGACGTCCCCGACTTTTTGCGCTCTTTGTTATCACAAATGACCCAGACTGCGAGGATTCTGACGAACTGCTGCTAATGTGCTGGCGCTTGGACTGGCTTGGATTTTGTTTGAAATCAGACATACTTGCTGCATCCACCTCTGGGGTGGTTAAAGTCACACAGGAATTGCCTCTAGTTACACACAGTGGTTCTTGTGCAGCAGTAGGGGTCAAAGTCACGTGGGAAGTACCTCTAGTCACACACGGTGTAACTGTAGGCTCTTGCATTGTAGCTGTAGCACATTGCATTGTAGCTAGAGGTGCGCTCTGTTGAGTCGGAGGTTCGTCATCGTCCGGGTTTGCTGTGGAAGTGCTCTTGTTTTTTTCTTCATCTTCGGTATCGCTTTTCATCACAGCATCCTTTGGTTCAACAGCATTGGTATTTAACGTAGGCGAAAATGTCAGCGACGATAGCTGTGAAAGCGGGTCTACCCATTCACCTTCTCGACCAACAAATGGTGCAACACCGTCCTTGATAATGTCTTCAAATTTCTCCAAGGCGTTCATCATTTCTTCAAATACAAACGTTCCGTTCCTGCTCATAATGTCTGCAATACTCTTTCCACACTCGAGAGCGTGCTTGTACTTCGTCGTCCCATTTAAAACGTGATGGCGCCTTGCTGTCATAGCAGAGTCACGGACTTGGAAGGTTGTGCACGCAACTGTTTTGTCTGGTACGTCTTCTTCTGGCGCAGGTTGATTCAGCTTGCACGACAACCTCCAACGGGGTGCAATGTACCGAATAGGAATTGCCTGTTTTCCACGTAAAAGACGCCAATACATGACGTGCCGGCATGGAAGCAACATCGTCTTCATGAATACACATGAGCAGTGATATCTCTAAAGGCACGCAATAACAGCGACGTACGTTAGGGTTTACACGGGCCAGAACGGGTGACAAACTTACCGTAGTGTCGACATGATAGCATGTACTGGTGTGGCCACCTCCGGTCAGGACAAACAGGCTGGAATGTATTTCCTCCACGCCGTAACTTGTCTTGCGATCCTTAGACGCCCAATACTGCTCTTCAACAAGCCGGTACGCATACGGGCTGACTTCGCGCGCTAGCTGTTCATCTGCACCATCATAACGCATCTGGCCCACGTCTGTAATTTTCTTTCCGTACTCCATCTCTACTACTGCTTGCAAGAACATCAGCGTATCTACGCACTCATCCAGCGCCATCTCCGGCTTCAGAACCTCTTTGATATGACCCCATGATGTTTCAAGCCTACAGACCACCAAACCACCAGCCAAAAACACAGTTAAAGGTGAGTCTAGAACCTATAGCGCAAGAAATTGTACCTATTTTTGGTGTAGTTGCCTAGATGTGGAACATCCGAACGTGCGTACAGCGCCCATCGTTCTTTCATCGAATCCCAGTTCTTCATGAAGGACTTCAAAAATGGATGCGTAGGCACAGGTACAGGGTCTTCACGTTTAAGACGAACACCTTCCAGCAAGAAGTATAGATACTTCAGATACTTGACGTACTCATCCGTAGAAACCGCCAGCCGCATCATATCGATAGCATCTTCAACTTGGTCTTTGTCGAAGCTGGACGGGCCTCCATACTCGCTCTTTGCCAGCTCGGTCCAAATATACTTCTTCAAATGGAAGTGACACAGAATCACTTTCACGCCAGGGAACTCCATTTCTAGTAATCCCAATTCACCCATGTCCTTGTCAATCACAATTACCCTGACTTGCTCCCACGAAGAGTTGTTAAACTTGAACGACCCGATAGCATCTGAAAGACACTCTGCACTTTCGTTCTCCATGAGACTGTGGTGTACGTATTGACCCTAGCATTACGTTAAGAGCTCATAAGTAAGAATTTGTACATATCAAGTACATGCTGTAGCTGAAGCTACGCAAACAGTAAAAGTGTAACTAGAGGCACATAGGATGCAACGTCAGGTACATTTACTTACATGTCCGTACACATCGTTAACCATGAACGAGAAGAGCTTGTAGCGCGATTCGTTGGTGTTATGCGTCGCGTCAATGAGCATCACTTCAGGAAAAGCCTTGAACCAGCGTCGCATTTGTCTCGTCTGCAACGCGATGGTCTGTGCAGTTTTGGATTCGTCGACGTAAACGGTTGCTCGGGTTCCACGACATTCGCAAATCCCTCGCAAGACAGTCTCCAGCCGTTCTTCAGTAGTCGCACCTCCCCTTCGTCTCTCCTTCATCCTCGCCACCATGTTGTGTACATCTCGAAGCACCACATTTTTTCCTACATGGAGTCCAAAACAAGAAAGCTATCAGTCACTATATATAATTCTGGGTTGAGTTAAGCGCACCCACCTGTCTTCTTTCGCAGGAACTGCATAATTAGCTTCGGCTTAGAACCAGCAGCTTGGAGTTCATCCACGAATGCCAGTATGTCCGGATCCTCCACGCGACGGTTCGACACATGGTTCTCAAATGTAGCGCGAGACACATTGTGGTTGTGTCTGACGTCAAAGTCAGTGACGCGTACCATGAACGTGTCGTGTTCATCGTTCCATACGACAGCAGCCTTAATGTTTGCCTTACAGCCTGTAGTCTTCTCGAAAAACGACCTTCGTATCCCCTTTCCACGGCTCTTGCGCTTCCACCCGTGAGTGCAGACCAGCTTAATCCAGAAATTTTCGAGCTCCTCAGGGATCAATCGATCCGACGTCTCATCAGTAGCTGTGTTAGTCGTGCCGGAATCATCTGGGTCCTTCGCATTAACACTCACGTCTGCTCGCACCTTAATTTCTCGATTTCTCTTTTGAACCCGACGTAGACGTGCGCTGTGGAAAGATCTGGTGTATCTCCTCTTGGTAGCGCTCCATGTATTTGCGGAAGGCATCCCAGCTCTCATGCCACTCGACATCAACTGGGGAACAGAGCCACGAGACTTCAGGAGGGACTTGCCGCTCGGGTTCACTGTCGCTCATTCTGATTGCACACATGAGAACCACAGAATACGCTCTTAGCTTACCTTCCCCTCTAATCTACATGAACATGCATGCTTACCTTCAGAGCTGTCGTGTGTCTTCGTCTCGTATTAGAGTTTAGGAGGGGCGCGTGGCTGATG